GATGTCCACTGACGCTGGCTCTCACCCGAGCTCCAATTATGGGGCAAGTCACTGTGTGTGCCGGGCATTTTCAGTTTCGTTTTCGGTTTCACTCAGCCAGTTAGCACTGCTGACGGGCGATTCACACCTTCAACCTGCAATTGCACTGGCAATTGCACCTTGGCCCTGCAATTTAGCTGTAGCCCAACTGTTTATTTAGCTGATTTCGCTGGGGCTACGTGGTCGGGAACTCTGAGTTTTCGGCGGACACAATGACCGGCTTTATTGGCGAAATCGTTAGCCAATTGACAAATCAATTTATGGGGCACTTGGCTTAGCACGCAAACACAATTCCATTGATTGTCGGTCGGGGTTTTTTTTTGTAGCAACTCAATTCTTTTTATTGGTTTTAATGTACTTTCTTCGTGGTGTTTGTTTTGGACTCGTTTGTTTGGAATTTCGCTGCCGCATTTAGCGCGTTTTCTATTTGCTCTAGTCGGTTATCTAGCTAGCTGCAATTACTTCATCGCGACACACCTACGGTCTAACGGATTTCGTATCTGGCTGCCAGAAACTTGTATCTCGTGGGTATGCAAATCACCTGTTAGCGCGTTTCGCGTGCGCATGCGTGCGCGTCTGGTTAACAACTGAGCGCGTTGTGGCCCAAACGACTGGCCAAGATCACGGCCAGGCTAACAGCAGAGTGGTCGCTCTCTCGCTTTTTTCTCTTGTGGTTTTCGTTCAGTTGTCGTTGACTTTTTGCACTGCAATATCGGTTGTATCTGGCATTTGGTATCTGGTATCTTCCCCTGCATTCGCACGTCGCTCGGGCCAGATTCTTCCGCCGCGCAAAACCTTAACTGTAGTTTTCTGCCGCGGCTGAAAGTTGTTCCGTCTGCACTCGCCTCTCTATGTTTGTTTATACATTTTCCAGTTAACTTCAGATTGTTTCAAGTGCAGTTTGTCTGCTTGTTTGACGTTAATTTTCCTCGTTGTTTTTGCGCGACTCTTCCTTAGTCGGCGCTTTTCACGGCCATTTGGTGTCCAATAAACGGGTTTTCCTACAACGACAAAGTACATATATAAAGCGATTTTTATTATGTTTTTATGGCGCCAATATGGTTACCAAGTGTTTGATTTTTCCGGCAGCTTAAATTCAAGACAAAAGAGAAAATAGGCCAAAAGTCATACAACTGAGTATATTTAATCAATATTATAAATTTAATCCTGTTTTGGTGAGATGGTCATTTCAGTTCAGCAACATTTGCAATAAAAAAGTTGAATAGGACAAACGGATCATAAAATTAATGAAAAATTTGGCAGCTTAACAGAAAATGTGTTTTTTGGTTACATATTAAGGGAAATGGGTCAAACATCGACCTAAAATACAACCCATAAATAAGAATTTTCTAAAAACTTAACTTGGATTCACAGCGATTAAATTGAGAACGGAATTGAAAAGCAGTTCTCGGCAACAAAAGAAAGCAATCAAGTTGTCATATAAAATCACCATTACTTGAACCACTTTCGATGAGCAACAAAAGATGTGTCTTGTGGCATATTATTCTTCTATTGTTGTTCACCCGCCAGTTAAAAGGCTTTAAGTAATATTCCATCTTTGATCAAGATATCAATCTCGGTGCTTGCACATTGACCTTATTATTGCTGTATTATTCTGGCTCTGAATATAATTGCCACAAGTCTGATACCTTTGTTACATTCTAATTAGCTGAAAATGGTCGGTAATATGGGCCTAGACATAAGAGTCCTTCCACCAACTGTTTTAGCCGTTTATAATCATGTTTCCAATGCAATCAATTAGACCGCATTACGCGCACAGCTGCATACTGGAGTACCTACTTACGATTATTATTTTTAACGAGCTGCTACTTTGTTGCTCTCTGCAGACGGTACGTATGCGTAATGTGCATAAACGACATATGTTTCATGTAACGCGTCGCGTTGTTATGGCTTTTCATATTAAAGACATTCTATTAAAGTGCCATGGCGGCTTATGTCATGCCGAAAGAAATAGCCATAAAACAGCGAGTACACAATTGCTATAAAAACAATGGCCAGCTAAATCAAGTTTAGGAAGGCAGCAGCCACAGAACTCGCTCCCCAACCAAAAACCCATATGATGTAAGTTCTTCGCGGGTTCAAGTCGAGTCGAAGACCCAGGTGCGACCGTTAGGTGTCTTTAAGGGTTAGCGGCTTGGAAACATGGAATTTAGACTTCTAACAGAGAAATAAATATTTTATTTAATTTTTGTACGAGTGCTTTTGAATTCTGTTTGGCATCATTTTATAAGAAAACCCATGTTGCTAAAACTTTAAATACAGCATTGAGCTAATAAATGTTGATATCATCAAAACAAAGTAAAGTTACGTTTCTGTGTATTTATGTCCTCTTGAAGATTATTTTTGGACTACTTATGCAAGACTCTTGATACATTGGCTTTTGACTGCCTTGTTCTTCTGTTGATGGCTTTCACTCGAATGCTTTCTGCTCTTTTTAATAATGATTCAATTACATCTATCTTAATGGCACTCGAAAATGGCCAGCTCTCGGTTAACAGGCAGGCGGCAGATTACGTTTTCGGAAGGTAACAAGCTTTCCCTGCACGTTGGTTTTGCCGCTGTCAGTCCCAGCATTTCCGTGAGATTTTATTGCATTTTTATGTGACAATTTCTCGGCTGACACACGCATCTGAACATCGCGAATGCTCGACTCGACAAGCGGTTATGTAAAGTTTTTAAGTATTTACATTTCTTTAAATTGTATCAATGTTCGGAGCTGACTTTCGGTTTCAGTCGAACGCCTAGTGAATGTATCTAATAGATTACTAATTTCACTTTATGCGTGCTTGTAACTTAGTTCGCCAAGTGTGGTGTGATTTGTGTTAGCGTGCAAATATTTTAAAGAGTTTTTTAACTCTGTCTACATTTGTTCGGTTGCGTTTCAGAGAAATCCATAGGTAAGCCGAGCCAAAAAGCAAATTCACTTTCGTTGCGGTTAACCAACTTGACTCACTAATGGCTTATTAAGTCCAAATAGATCGGATTCAACGTACTTTTTATGATCCATCTGCCGGGGAGCGTAGCAAATTGAATGTAATTATTGACAGCGAAACAGTAAAAACTCGCAATTGGAATAAAAACAGTTCTGCCACCGCATTGCTTCGCATATATTGCTGCGGTTTATCGCCTGCAAATTAAGCTGAAAGGTTTCATTTTCAATAAATGTGATTATTTTGAGTGAACCACAATTTGAGCTTGGACCAAACCATTTGTTACTTTCTTCTGGCATGCTCTTAACGTGTGTATCATTGCTTTTACAATCTATTATTTTTGGTTTGTTTTGTTTCGAGAATCTACAACCGTTGAGCACGCAAGCCAAAAGACTAATTGGGATTCTAATGTGTATTAGAGCGCGTTGAGATTCCCATCTGGCATGCGCTAATAACTCAAGATGGGCGGGGAGGGTCTTTAAGAACTTTAAGAAGGCAGCTGGCTGGGCCTTGGAACCGCAGGAAATTTCACTTTTACCCACTGGGTTAAATGCACATGGACATGCAGCGCATTTCCCCGGCAAACAGGTTTCCGTTTTTTCGGTTGATAAGTGCAACCGGCTTGCCAGCTGTTCGCTTTTTTTGTTGGTCACTCAGTCGTTTGAAACTGGGTCAAATATTTGCATTTAAGTTCGATTGGAGTGGGAATATTTGGCTTCCTGCTTTTACCTACTCACTTGGCAAGATGTTCCAACAGCAATTAACACGCACAGTCACTTAAACCAACACTCGCCATCACCATTGACTCATAATTCTTTGGGGCAATTTGTTGTTGTGGCCATGGCGTGACGTCTAATTAGCAAGATATTTTGTTATTTGTCCGCTGGTCACTTTCGCTCTCGGTTTTCACAAGAAATAATTTGGTGGATTTGGTTTCAAGAATCCGCGGCGTCTTTCACTTTTCACAGTTGCCAATAAAAACAGCCAGAGAGGCGCGATAAACGTGGAAGACCGGCGAGCGTGGAAGACCAACTGAACAGAGGTGCCGTCGCATGAAAGATGCGGCCAACTTTGGGTGTTGGTAGGTGAGTTTGATCGTACGGTTACAGATACAGATACAGATACAAGCAAACACACAGAAACAATGAGAGAGATAGAGAGAAAGTAAGCACTTTTACAAGCCTGAAAGTATGCGACAATTTTATTGTTTTGTTTCAAAAGGCTCCAGTGCACTGCAGTGCTGAATAGAACTTACTTTAGCCCATGTGTTAATTAGTTTGTTTATAACTCTTTGCAATTAATAATATACAAATTTTAAGAAAACAACTTTAAGAAACGGTAAAACCTTGAAATATGTTTACTATGTGCCAATATAACAATCCGACATTCCAACAATCAATGAAATCAAACAATAAGATTTGGTAATATTCAAATACTATGAAATTAAGGTTTTTATTAAATTAAAATTGGACATTTATATTATATAGCTCCCATAGAATAAAACAAAAAAAAACATTTATTTTGCTCTTTTACTATTTGTCAAAATATTCCTTGGAGATATAATAATTAGTTCAGAATTACGCTTTTAGTTTTGTCACAATATATAGATTGTATAGAAATCGAAATGTAGTAGTATTGTACTAACTTCAAGGGTATATAAGCCGATGTTTTCTTCCTTTATTTTATTACTTTAATTTTCCGATTGTTCCTATGGGAGCTATATGATATAGTCGCTTTTGGGAAAGTTTCAAGCAGACGGACGGATGAACACAGGTCTTTTTATTCATTCATTTCTAAAATTTACGGACAACAAAAAAATATGTAATAACAAATCCGACGTAATATTATTATACTCATCTACTTTTTTATGGTTTGGTATGTATTTATGGGAATTGATAATTTGTTTAACAATTTAAATATTAATATTAGTTATTATTTGTAGACCTTCATGCCATATATATTAGCACGATTTTGCTCCCAGATATTTTTCTGCTTCTTTAATTTATTCAATTAGCTTGCTGCTTCGGTGGTTTCACTATTCGCATTGTTTTCAATGGATTCTACCTCACTCTCTCTTTGACTGCTGCTATTCATTAGTAATCTTGGTGGCTTTGTCGGACTTGTAACTGGAGCTTTAGTTGTTGAGGAAGTTGTACCTGTGGTTGTTTTGCGCCATTTACCCCTCCACTTTTTTGGGCCACTTTGGTTGGCCGGCCTTATCCGATTATTGGTTATCTTCTGCCATTCAGATCCGTTGTCTAGTTGGAAAGAGCTTGTAAGAAGATTTTCAGACACCATCTCATTGAAACGCATTGCGAGTTGGTCCTCCACTTGTTCCTTGGACGGTCTGCCCATCGGATGCATCAATTGGAAGGGAATGGGATACGGGATGTAGACTGGCACGGGATAGAAAACCGGTTGAGGAGCCACTGCCTCCATCGGTCCATGAGGAACGGTTATTGGGGAACTCTCCCACATTCCCGGCATAAGCAAAAAGTCCTGCAGTGGAAGCTTATGTTTTTGTCCATGACTTAAATCTTGTTTCTGCTTCTGTGGAGGACGAGTTTTCTTAGTTGGCTTTCCTGTAGAGTGCGTTGCATCCGTTACTGGAGGAACAGTTGTTGCTGCATCTGGTACCAAAGTGGTTTCAATATCCTGTTCTGATTTGATTGAATCTGCAAATGTTGTCTTAGCAATGGGATTTGAAAGCACAATCAGTGGAGTTTTTGGATCATCTCTACTGGCTTGCAGCACTGCCAAAGGCTGCTCACTTCGCAATTGGCCATAAGTTGGGCTTGTTACGTATAAGATATAGACGATAACTGTAAAATATAATTTAAAGCTTTATGTTTTATTTTCATCGTTTTTTGTCTGCCACCTACCATAAAGTAACTTCATGGCGACTTTGTATAAACTAATCTTCTTTCAATAAATTTCTCTTTTTATATGCCCGATTTTGGTTGAATTTGAAAGTAGGTTTCCGGCTAATCAATTCGTAATAATTTTGCTAATTAAATAAATTTTTTCTGGAACAAAACTTTGCTTTATGATTTTTGCTTATTTGCCTTTAATATGATTCTTAAGAACTGTATTAGATGTCTGTACAAACAAAAATTTAGAAAATCGCTTAACTTTTAATTAAACATTTATTACATTTTTAAGCAATCGTTTTTTATTTTTACATTCAAATCTTAAATTCAAAATAAAAGAAAAATAAGAATGCTTAAAATTATTTGTAGAGCTTAGTAAACGACATGATTATTGAACCTAATTACTCTTTATACGGGCTCGTTTGGTGTAGTATTTTACTTTCAAAAGTAGTTTTGGAAACTGGTTAAGCTATTATTAAGCCAGCTGCCTTGGAGACTTCACTTTATTGATCTTAGTAGCGATTTGGTCCTTAATTTTTTGGTTTAATGAACTGTTCAAATGGTCATTAGCAAAGTTAAGCATTAAAGGAAACGGAAAATTTATGTTAAATGGCAAGTATACAAGTGGATAAGACGGTCGCAATTTAACTGAACTCTCTTAAATTCCTGGTAGTGACAGAAATTGAGATTGCAAAAAATTCTGAAGAGGGGGTCTAGAATCTAGTCCATAATTAAAGAAAAGGTTCGGTTTTTTAGGTGGTTTAGTGGGATTTTTTTTTTATAGCTTATATAAAGTTGTTTTTTCTGCATTTAAAATGGATCTACATTCTTTTTCCTTTGTAACGGGTTAAATGGTTGGTAATATGTTTGAAGGACTCCTATCATCTTCTCTAGCATTAAGAGCTGCCTGGCCGAATGCCATCCTTGACAAGAACATAAGGCAAAAAGCTTGAAAGTAAAATTGTCACATTCGAAAATTTATCATAAGCTTTTACTGACACTTACCATTATTAAGAAACTTCATGTTGCCTCGAAATTATAATACAAGTTGTGTGAAAAGCAAAGCTTTTTATACTGCAAAGCAAACTAGAATTCGATTTTAGGTTACTGGTTTAACCAATTTTTAATTACTGTGCTAATTGATAAAAGGGAAAGTTTACAATATATATTCCGAGTCTGATACTCACGTAAAAAGTTGTCAAGAATGCTAGCTTTAGAGTTAAAATAGAAAATAATAAACAAAAACCGCTTTACAAAAAAAAGAATACTTTTAGTTCCAAATCCTACCAAAACGATCGCAAAGATATTAAATACATTGGTACGCTTTTCAAATAAAATAAAAAGGCTAGTAATCGGACATTTTTCGTCGAGGCCTTTGAGATATAGTAATTATTTACTATATCAAAATAATGCTTTTAGTTTTCTCAAAAGCGGAAAACAATATCATATAGCTGCCATAGAAACGATGACTTAGCTTCATTGTTATACCCTTGCAGAGGGTATTATAATTTTGGTCAAAAGTGAAGGAGACATCCCCGACCCTATAAAGTATATATATTCTTGATCAGGATCACCTCCTGAGTTGATATAGCCATGTCCGTCTGTCTGTCCGTCTGTCTGTTTCAACGCAAACTAGTCTCTCAGTTTTAAAGATATCGAATTGAAACTTTGCACACACCCTTCTTTCCTTTGCACGCAGTATATATGTCGGAACGGGATCGGCCGGGATCGGCCGTCTATATCCTATAGCTGCCATATAACCAAATTTCATAAGGATCGGTCGACTATATTCTTTAGCTACCATATAACTGATTGATCGGAAATGCCATAACTTTGGTGTTTGCAAAGTTAGGAAGCTGGTATTTTCTATGGGATTTATTTTTGGCCAATCAATCCGACCTATCCAATTTCATAAGGATCGGCCGACTATATCCTATAGCTGCCATATAACTGAACGATTGGAAATGCCATAACTTTGGTGTTTTTAAAGTTGGGATTTTTTATGAGTATTAAGAATGCATCAAATGAATAATTTTGGAGAATATAATTTACAGAGTATTCTGCAAGGCTCGGCCCGAAGTTAGCTTTCCTTTCTTGTTTTTAATAATATAGGCATAGAAATCGAAATGTAGTCGTTTTGTAATAACTGCAAGTGTATATGAACTTCGGCTTGCCTGCTTGGATCTGAGCTGCAGTACAGCAAACACTCCAAGTCTCCCAAGTCGTGCTTTAATAATTGCAGCAGCCTGAAATTTAACGTCTGAAATAGTTCTTTAAAAAAATGATTGCAGATATGGGCGAACTAAAATTTCAGCCATTGCAGACGGTCACACTGGTGAATTATTCTTTTTTCTTTTTGGAACCAAAAGTCTAGGATGCCAAGACTGGACCCTAAGAACACAAAACGAGTAGGGGAGCAATTATAAATGTACTTATTGGTTTCTTTTTGTAATTCCAGAAGTTCATGATCGCCATTTATGGGTAGCGAGTAATCAGCAGGAACTTAACTTATCAAATGATCTCTTCTCTGGGTTTTTTTAGAAACAATTTTTAATGCCGAATAATTTTTGCGCTAACCTACAAGAAAATAGCTGACATTGGAACAATCAAAAAATGTAGCGAAAAATCTACATAGCTTCATTGTTTTTAGGTTTATACAAATACAATACAAATTAAATATAATCATTTTAAAAAATATTTAAATGGTATTTGGTAGTGCTGTTGATGTTGTTTGAGATTCTGTTGTCGTAGGTATTGCTGGGGATGTTGTTGGAGATTCTGTTGTGGTTGTTGTGGTAGTCTCAATTGCTGGGGATGTTGTTTGAGATTCTGTTGTCGTAGGTATTGCTGGGGATGTTGTTGGAGATTCTGTTGTGGTTGTTGTGGTAGTCTGAATTGCTGGGGATGTTGTTTGAGATTCTGTTGTCGTAGGTATTGCTGGGGATGTTGTTGGAGATTCTGTTGTGGTTGTTGAGGTAGTCTGAATTGCTGGGGATGTTGTTTGAGATTCTGTTGTTGTAGGTATTGCTGGGGATGTTGTTGGAGATTCTGTTATGGTTGTTGTGGTAGTCTGAATTGCTGGGGATGTTGTTTGAGATTCTGTTGTCGTAGGTATTGCTGGGGATGTTGTTGGAGATTCTGTTGTGGTTGTTGTGGTAGTCTGAATTGCTGGGGATGTTGTTTGAGATTCTGTTGTTGTAGGTATTGCTGGGGATGTTGTTGGAGATTCTGTTGTGGTTGTTGTGGTAGTCTGAATTGCTGGGGATGTTGTTTGAGATTCTGTTGTTGTAGGTATTGCTGGGGATGTTGTTGGAGATTCTGTTGTGGTTGTTGTGGTAGTCTGAATTGCTGGGGATGTTGTTTGAGATTCTGTTGTCGTAGGTATTGCTGGGGATGTTGTTGGAGATTCTGTTGTGGTTGTTGTGGTAGTCTGAATTGCTGGGGATGTTGTTTGAGATTCTGTTGTTGTAGGTATTGCTGGGGATGTTGTTGGAGATTCTGTTGTGGTTGTTGTGGTAGTCTGAATTGCTGGGGATGTTGTTTGAGATTCTGTTGTCGTAGGTATTGCTGGGGATGTTGTTGGAGATTCTGTTGTGGTTGTTGTGGTAGTCTGAATTGCTGGGGATGTTGTTTGAGATTCTGTTGTTGTAGGTATTGCTGGGGATGTTGTTGGAGATTCTGTTGTGGTTGTTGTGGTAGTCTGAATTGCTGGGGATGTTGTTTGAGATTCTGTTGTCGTAGGTATTGCTGGGGATGTTGTTGGAGATTCTGTTGTGGTTGTTGTGGTAGTCTGAATTGCTGGGGATGTTGTTTGAGATTCTGTTGTCGTAGGTATTGCTGGGGATGTTGTTGGAGATTCTGTTGTGGTTGTTGTGGTAGTCTGAATTGCTGGGGATGTTGTTTGAGATTCTGTTGTTGTAGGTATTGCTGGGGATGTTGTTGGAGAATCTGTTGTGGTTGTTGAGGTAGTCTGAATTGCTGGGGATGTTGTTTGAGATTCTGTTGTCGTAGGTATTGCTGGGGATGTTGTTGGAGCTACTGTTGTTGTAGTTGGAATTGCTGGGGATGTTGTTGGAGCTTTTGTTGTGGTTGATGTGGTAGTCGGTATTGCTGGGGATGTTGTTTGAGATTCTGTTGTGGTAGGAATTGCTGGGGATGTTGTTGGAGCTACTGTTGTTGTAGTTGGAATTGCTGGGGATGTTGTTGGAGCTTCTGTTGTGGTTGTTGTGGTAGTCGGAATTGCTGGGGATGTTGTTGGAGATTCTGTTGTGATAGGAATTGCTGGGGATGTTGTTGGATCTACTGTTGTGGTAGTTGGAATTGCTGGGGATGTTGCTGGGTCTTCTGTTGTGGTTTTTATAGTTGTCGGAATTGATTGAGTTGCCGTTGATGTCTCAATTGCATTGGGGTCGGACTGCTCACGCATTGTGGGTGGCTTCTTGGATGCTCTTCTTCGTTTCCATTTTCCCCAGAACCTTTTTAGGGCGATGCCAGAAGGAGGGTCTTCATAATCTTGATAAGTGCTCTCTCTCATTGTGTCATAAGTGTCATTACTAATCTTATTGATTTGTTTAACAATTTGTTCTTCTAATGCTCCCGTCGGTGGTTTAATATTATTGTACATTTTTTGATTGCCATAGCTAAGCTTAATGGGAATCGGAACTTCGAAATCGAATATTTCTTCTTCTGCTGGTTTATTACCCGTTTGCGGGGTCAAGAATTGATCCACATTTGCTTGGGAAAAACTTATGCTTAGTAGGCATATTAAAAAGATGAGAGCTATACAAGAAATATTTGTTAGCAACCACTTTCGTAAAAATATATTTCTGTACATACCAAAACTTATGGACGCCATGGTGATGCTAAATCATCTGACGTTCTCCTGACAAATGTGGCGTTTTATATGGAAATGCAAATTGGAAAGTGTGTCATTGGTAACAGTCAATGTCTAATAATTCTGCTAATTGGAAGGTTTTTTTTTGATGTAGCAAAAATTTCTACTAATTCTTAATAAGTTCAAATAGTGGTGAAGATATGGTCTTGTCTTCAAATAAGTTAGTGTGTATAAATACTCTTGAGCATCTTATGAATTGCTAATTTTAAAATTAAGTTACTAAATGCTTTCAACTATTAAGTTGATTTAATTGTTGTGGGTATTGTAGCTTTAGTACAAATGATCGTACTTGTCATTAATTTTATAAGAGTTCTATTCCGTGAAATTTTAATTAGCATGTCAACAAATGAAACCGGTTTATATTTCATTTGATCTATTTATTTGTTGCTTCTCGAAAAATAACTTTGTATTTTTTCTTAACGTGTTTAACAATATTTAATTTGACTGCCTGGTAGATCCACAGAACTTATAAATTCTTAATTACTAGAAATGCAGTCACTTGATCCTGTAACTCATATTTAGATTCTCGTTAGATGTCACCAAATTATGCACACCAACTAAAAGATGATTTTATGCTGAATTTGATTGGCTTGTATTGCGTTTTTATAAGTAAAATAAATAAATAAATTATGAGATAATGTTACAATAGAGATATTGAGATAATGTCAGATAGAATTATATTATTGGATTTGGTTGGCTGACTGATCCACTTTTAGTGACCTGGCATAGCCCCCATACCCGAAACCACTGGCGGTACCTCCTCCACCACCTCCAGCGGCAAAGTGGGGACTATGTCCATGACCCCCATCCTCGTGGGTCACCGAGTGCGAGTGGCTGGAGGTGTAAATGGGCTTAGCCACTATTTCGTAGGTGGTGGACTTTCCGCCGCCGCCGGCCAAGCTCTTGAGTCCCAAAACTCCAGACAGTGTCAAGGCCATCAGGGCTGCCATCAGAGCCTTTCCGGCCATCAGGGCTATGGCCCCGAGGCCCATGGCCATAAGCATGCCCTTCATCATGACTCCGGCTGCCACCAGGGCCTCTAATCCTCCTTTCTTTCCAAACTTGTGCTTGCGTCCCTCTACCAGGGGCTTGTCATCCAGCAGGCGAAATCGGAGGAAGCGCGTTTTCAGGAGATTCTCCAGCTTGGCCACTATGTAGCCGTTCAAACGAGTGCTGGGATCACTAGGATAGCTGCGAGCCACTTCTGCAAAAATAGAGTGATAAGAAACTACATTTTAATTTAAGGTCTTTTTAATTTAAATGGGTAGGTATTGCGTTATCTAAACAAACTTTATCTTATAGGTGCAAAATGTAAGACCAAATGTCAAATTAGAAACAAATTATCCTTCTTTCAAAGTTGAGATGATAACTGTAACTTTTAAACTTTTAGAAAGATTGTATTTTTGTTTTATACAAACAATTTTAAAAACAAATACATTTTTTAGAAATATTATATTTGCTTATGTTTTTCATATTTTTTGTTTGCTGAACCTACCTGCCATTAACTCCGATGTCTTGAGCTCCGTGGCATTCTCATCCTTAACCACACTGATGCCGGGCAAAACATTCAGTTCCTCCTGCTCGGCTAGCTTTTCCATGATCTTGACAAACTCGATCTTGAGGCACATCCAACTGAACGAAGAAGTCTCGCAGCCATTGAGAAGGCTATCCGCTTTTTGGGGTTTTCTTAGCGTTTCCGTTGCAACTGCAGGTGCTTCCGTGGGTTGCACACTCGCCGCCTGGGCGTATTTGCACATGAAGGCGAATAGGGCCAGATAAAACAGGTATTCCAGGGTCTTGGTCACCAACATATTTGCTATCTACTGCTTTTGGGATTGGCTGAGAGACTGCATCATCTCAATTTTATGGCTTTGGCTTTTATACCCGCTGCCACTACTTCCATTCCCATTTCCCTTTCACCAATGCCGTACTCCGCACTACGGCTCTGTGCTTTTCTAATTACCCAAACGATTTGTGGTCGAAATTCTTCCCAGCGTCAGTCAGCTGCGTCCAACTGGGCGGCACTTTCGCTTTCCTCGGTGGCAGCGGTCAGGTCAGTCTTGCGAATCGGCCGGCTAACTCTGTCACCAAAAAGTTCCAGCCAATGAATTTCCCGAGGGCCCGAGAAGAAAACTCTCCCAGGTTCGGGCATCGAGGTAATTAAGAGTGCCAGATAAAAGTCGCGTGCCTCGGACCTCCATAAATTAAGTCCCAACATTTTGCCCGCCTAACTGGGACTAACTAACAATTCATTGTTAATTATAACTACATTTTCATTTGTGTCTGGTCTAGCCTCGTTTCTCTACTTTCTTTGCTCGTATTGCCCATGAGGTAATATATCTTTCCACGCGAAGTCTTGGCTGTTTAGTATTCAGATTACATGCAGTGCTAATGACCAATTTGTTGGTCGGCTTTTGATTTTCGCTCATCGCCAGCCTGGTGTAATAATTCTCTGTCGGGAAATATTGGGAAACAATAGAACGTTTTATTACCTTATATACTCTATAATGTTGTACTTTTCTCTTTTTGAAAGGGTACAATGATTAAACACAAATTCTGCTTATATAAATTATGAGAAACAAATCTTCCAATATTTTAAGGCAATTCTATATTAGATCAATAGATTAGTCGCCCAATTTAAATAAGAAATTTAGTTTAATTGGAAAAATATTTAATAAAAGCTCGACCTTTGAATGCAATTTAGCCTCTTATTTTACCAATAAAAGATTTTTATTTAAAGAAAAAACAACTTTTATTTAAAATAATAATTCAAGAAAATGAAATTTTAATAAATATTTATGTGATGTCGACGGCAATCATTTGGATGATTATAGTTGTTGCCTTTGGGGCTTCTTAGTTTTTTGGTGGAGTTTTTGTTGGTTTGGTTGTAGTTGTCGTAGTTGTAGTCCACTTGTTTCTGAACTTTTCACCGAATCTTTCAAAAAATCCAGTTCCATTATTATTGAACGGGGGGAATCGCAGTAGTCCTAGGTCTTCTGAAACCTCAACCACCGGGGCAGCTTCAATGTTCACAGCTTCATCCTTGGCTGGAAGTGTCTTCTTTTCGTCGTCGACAGGAAGTGCCAAAGCCAAGGAGACCAACAGGCCAACGATTAAGGCGATTTTAATCTGACAGCCGATGAGTTTGTTGCTTGAGCCGTTCATCTTGGATCTATTGACTTTCGGTCATCTCGATTGGCAGTTTTATACCAACGCCAAGTGGGACATTTGATTAAAAACCAATTAGGAAGTTCACGAAAAGAAAGCTCGTGGGCCTAAGCCCATTCAATTAAATTTGCTAATACAATTAAGCAAAAATATGTTTTTATGGGTTTTGTTTTTGCAAAAGATAAAATGAAAGTGTTTGTTAAAGAGTCTAATGAAATAACTGATTTCAATTTCATTTAGGACTCCTATAAATTATTTGCTGCTAGTTTCATTTTTGTCTGTTCTTTTTAGTTCCGCTTGCTAGTTATAAACCGTTATATTCTGTTCACTATTTTTGACATTGTTTTTATCAACGCATTTTAGATATTAATTGCTTCACATAAAGAGCACTAATCTAGCACTAGATTTCCGCAAAAAAGTTGAAAAAAAGTTTGGTTTTGCATTTGATGAATCATTTTTATTCAATTGCTTTAAGTTATCAGAATAAATACTTAGTAAGTAAGCTCTTTAGCAGGCATAATCTTCGTTGTTTTCGATGAACCTGAGTGACATTTACAACCGCCAAGAGACATGTGGATTGTGGAAATGTGCAATAAATATGGCGCAATCATGATTGACTTTAGTATCCTTAAGCATTGTCCTTGAGCTAGCCAAGAGTCGTGGGACCGTTTCAATAGTTCTCTTTTTTTTGTGATTTTCTTTTTTTGGTATGTCGCAGCTATCTAACTAAATGTAACTAAATAATTATTGACTACGAATTAGGCCATTCTTCAGGGAAGTCTTAGAGGGATAGGTGGAGGAAATGAGGGAAGTGGGAGGAAGGTGAAGAAGGGTGCAGCTTTGGTAGGGTAAGATATAGCAGGTGAAAGATTCGGGCTAGTGCAGCGTGGTATGGATGGATCGCTTGGTGGTTTCGGGCTTAGAAGGGCTGAGCCAGGCCATAATGGTTGTAGGCCAGATCGGCGGCTCCAGCCTGACCGTTGCGGCTCCAGTCGGAGTGCACGATGTCGGCGTTCAGGGGGCTGCCGGTGATGTAGGCAGTGGTGATGTGTTCCTTCTTCTTGGCCAGCAGATCCTTGAAGAAGGTGGCACCTGCGAGGAAGACCAATTTTAAAAGTGTCCTATTTTGCGTCCACTTTAGACAAACTCACCAGCCAGAATGAGGGCCAGGAAGGAGATGGCCAGAGCCTTCAGCGAGATGAACTTGATGATGGTGAACATAATCTTGACAACGATGGCCTTCTTCAGCTTCAGGGCCAAAAGAAGGGGCACCAGCATCTTCTTCATGCGCTTGCTGCGGGGCTCTGTTTTTTTTAGGGAGAAAACAAAGTGAAAGCGGGAATTTAGAAATGCTCCAAAAAGTATTCAATGCTTGGCAGTCGAGTGAAAGCTTTCACATTGCTTTTGGCCAGAGCCACTAAGTATGCCAGTAGTTTTGCTCTGGCAGTTGGCTTTGTACACAGTCGAGTGGACTTTACTTTGGTAAAACTTTTGGCCGTTTGTAAGTGAACTTTAAGTGCTTATAAGGCGAACAAAATGAATTTAATTGAGTGCCAGTAGGGTTTTCTAATCACTCATACGTACTGTTGCCGCTGCTTCTGTGCTCATTTATAATCTGCTCAATTTGACTTGCTTTTAAATTACTCTATTTAAATTTATTTAGTTGGAAAGCTTGCACTGTTTATGTTTCGATTCAATTGACGATTTCATAATATTTTTGTAAATAGCTCGCAATCAATTAAAGGTTTGAAATATAATTATCAACTTGACTTGCTTTTAAATTACTCTATTTAAATTTAATTAGTGGGAAAACTTGTACTGTTTAAGTTTCGATTAAATTGACGATTTCATAATATTTTTGTAAATAGCTCGCAATCAATTAAAGTCTTGAAATATAATTATCAGGAATTTCTAACAACACTTTAATTTCTAAGCAACTTTAAAAAAATATTATTGAAACCTCACAAAAATGTCTCCCTAGGAGTCTCTATTATTGATTCCCTGGTGAAAGTACAGAACACTCACCCTCCATGGCGCGTCCGGCGAACTGGTTCTCGGCAAGCTCCTCCTGCTCATCGCCGGAGAAGGAGAGGTTCAGCTCGTGGGTCTCCAGGTAGCGCTCGGCGCGGTCCTCGAAGGACTCGACGGCCTTGGCGGCCCCGAAGCTGCGGCCCGCCTCCGACCGGTCGATTCTCAGGCCGCCGAAGAGCGAGACGGACTCCTCGCCGTCAAGGCGGTTCAGCATGTTGACCAGGTCCCGCTCGCTGTTGTCCTGCGAGGGAAGGGCCAGGGAGCCGCACACAAGGCTGGCCAGCAGCACAACACATACGAATTTCGCGCACATTTTGATTGGCACTTGGGATCGGTACTTTGAACGGGTTATAATCCTTGGGACGGCTGCCTGGAGCTGGTGGGTGCTGCCTTTGTGAATGGGAATCGCTTTGTGATTAATTGAATGCACTGCCCCCGCGTTTTATACCATTTCGATTCGCCGTCGATTTACCAATTTTGTGGCTAGAAATCGCGCGGCAGGCCAAAACGCACCGCGTCGCACTGCAATAACAATAACAATACCGAAAAACCAAAATCCAAAAACAATTTATGCAAAGCATATGCGTATGCTACCTGGCCGGCAATTTCTTGACCATATTTCCACGCACGTCGCGATGTCAACGAAAGGGAAGTGGCCGCCTGGCTGGCAGTCGGCCGGTTGAATATGATTTTTGTATATATTTTATATAAGCAAGTGGCCCGATTTCGGGTGTCCACCGTTAGCTGGGTCCCAATTGGCATTCAGCGGTGTCTCGGGCGACGTGTTCGGATTGCCTGTGCCAGATTCTTGGCCGGCTGTTCCTCCCCGTGGCATTCAGGGCCCGAAGATTAGTGGGGGATCTGCGAGACCCACCCGTATTTGGTATGCCCCGTCGGTGGTGACTTAATGCTCCATTTGGCCCACTTAGTTGCTCTGGCGCTTTCAACGCTTTCGATTTCATTCTCCCTTTGTCAAGTGGCGTTCGCTCGTTTTCTATTTCAATTGCTTCTAAATCTGCCTCCAAAAGAAAGCTGAATTGTAGCACATCGTCGCATATATCTCTTTTCAATCGCAAAGTGACACTTTTATGAGCATAAGTAGAAAGTTTCTGGTAAACAATTAACATGCCAAGCGGCCGTCACATGCCCACTAGAAACTCCAATTATGAGCAGGGCCACAAACTTGCCAAAAACTAATTCCCCAGCTTATCAGTTCTTCTCTTTATTGTATACATTTTGTTTTGCTGTGCAGCAACAGAACCTGCCACAAGTTTTAATTGCCAGTTGCAAACTTGTTGCCGCCCAGTGAGCAAAGTTCCAGATATTTGTTTTGGGGTCTGTCAGAATTTCAATTAAGCCCTGGGAAAGTCTCTGCCCACAGGTAAACACGTGCGTGGATTTACGGATTTTTTTCGGGTGCAATACTCTTGGTTTTATTCAAACATTCGACTTGACTATGCTGTCGCGGTGTGCGGAGTGCGTTGTGCGGCAATAAATTAGTTAATTACATTTCGAATAAATTACTACAGGCTAAAGGTTTCGAACGAAGGCACATCTGTGGCGTTTGGAGCTTGGAGCGCTTCCTGACTCCTGGCCATTTCCACGGCTCACTGCTGCTGCTGGCCGGCGTAGGCCAACTGCTGGGCCTCGGCCTCATCGCTGATGCTGCGGGCATAGGGATAGGACGAGGAGGCTCCTGAGCTCCAGCCGGCGCTAGCGGGTGCGGACCAGGCGTTCGAGTTGTAGGCTCCGCCGTAGGAGCTTCCTCCGAGCTTGTTGCCGAATCCGCCCAGCAGGCGGGAGCCGCCGACCAGGATGGCCAGGAAGAAGGCCAGCTTGGCCACGATCACGGCCTTGAAGGTCAGCAGGGCCAGGAAGCCGAGCACCAGGGGAATGACTGCGAACAGCTTGGCGCCAATGGCCAGAGCCACGGGTCCCAGCATCTTCTTGATCTTGCCACGGCCTGTAATCGGTTGTTGGGTAATTATTATCTGTTTTCAGCGGTTATATTGAGGGGAAGAACCCACCTTCATCGAGGGCACGAGCCACCTGCTGGGTGGTCTCAGCGGGCAGCTTGAACTCCAGATTGTGGCTGCCGAGGAAATCGGCGGCACTGGAAATGGCCAGATCCACTAGGCGACCAGTACGCTCATCGGCATTCTGGGGCAGCTCGGCATACACGTCCTGTTCGCTCATGGACTTTCCAGTGCGGGACACGGGGCTGGCGGGATCTCTATAAGAAGTGAGGTAATTGGAAATTTCAAGTTAAGTAATTAATTTTCTCATCATAAGACTTGCTAATTTATCTACTACGTATATCTTTTCAAAAAAGCGTAATGACTATTTAAGATAGACATTTTTTTAGCATTAATTAACAAATATTTTAATGCTTTAACATAGTCTCACCAATGTAAATCTTTATATGAAATTCACTGTTTATAACTACTTAAGGTTTCTCATGTATGAAATATTTCAAATTCTCTTACGTTGCATAAATGCTTCAGTATTGCAAAGTATTACTTTTACTATCTTTAAACCGTCTATGATCTGTGTAATTGATATATACTGTGGAACTCATATTATGTAATTCGAAATCTCTTCTAAATTATTATTCCGTTTTTGAGAAATATTTCTCTAGTACGTATGTAACCCAGATTTTGTCTTGATCTAGGCGATAACTTAGTTTCTTTTCAACTAGCTTTCATATAAGATATCTCGTAATAATTGTGATGCAAACACTTTAACTACTAAACACTACATTTCGAAGCACATTTTGTTTTCATTTTCGGATTCGTTTTTGTTTCAAGAACTAGGCACTTTCACTACAAACACACACCTCTGGAAGGTGACTCCGCTGGCCAGCTCGATGTTGTTGCTCCTGGCGGCGCGGTTCAGGGCGGTGATGCCCTTGACGGCCAGGCAGGTGGCCATGTCGTCGCTCTCCAGACAGGCGCCCAGATACCTAGCAGCACGGCCCAGGGTGTTGTCGCCCTCGACGCGGTTGTCTTGGACACTGGGGGCGGCAAAGGCGCAGCTGGCCGCCAAGAGGGTCACACAGGCGATGGCAAACACTTTCATTTTTCGGCTGATTCGCGGTTAATCCTGGCTGTAAAGCTGATCCGGCTGATTTTTAAGATCGGGCTGCTGCTTCTCTTCGGGAGCGCTGAGATGAGTTTGATGTATGCGTCTGCGGACATCTAGCCTTATATATTGGGCCGCCGGCTGCAGCCCCTCAGTCGGCGTCGCAGTCGGTGCGCATTACAAAACAATTCAAAAGTAAATTAAATAAAGCCCGGCGAGAGACGGCGGAAGCTACGCAAAGACGCGAAAAGAGCGCACTCGGAATTGGAGACCGGCCCAAAGAGTCGCAGACGCAGCCGCAGCCACATAAATCTAGAGAACGGCGGGGAAATAAAGTCAACTTGTTTGTTAAGTGAACATGTTCATTTCGGGCTGCCTTTTTTTCGGCAGCGCCGCTCCGGCGACGTCGTCATCCGTCAACGTTAATGTCGCGGAGAGAGAAACTTGTACTTGGACTTGGCCATTGGGCGAAAAGGGGCGCCCTGGAGTAAACAATCGGCATCATTGGCTAAGGTCTGCACGGCGAAAAAAATCTGTTATCTCAGATTTTACATAACCAAAGTACCCAAAGACAACACTTCAAGCTAGTTTTAAACACATTTTAGACAATTGAGAATATATCAACTTAATAGAATTTTGTTGAACAGCTAAATAAGCTGAACTTATAGTTCTGTTACCACTAATAATAAATGATAAGTTTTTGCTAGGCCCACTACTATTTAATTTTTTACATTGTAATCTTATTATTTGTAAAACTTGTTTAAATAATTCCATTGGAAGAAGAGTACTCGAGTCACATATGTATAAAGGAACACCGCTTGGTTCTATTGCTAATACCGTTTTTCTTAAATACAATTGCAAAAATAAATATTCATAAAAAAAAGAACATAATGTCGAGTAAAAAATATTTAAAGGAAGCCAAATGCCAATAAATATTCTATAAGTGGTTTAGGTGGGTGATTGGCATTCTGGAGATGGGATATTAGGTCCCGACCCAAATAATTATTAATAGTAAATATAAATTAAAGGCATTTTTACAGTTTCTAAATACAAAACTTACTATTATTTTTGTATTGTTAAAGGAATACAAAAAAGTAGATTAGTTTTAATTTTCCCTGCGTGTAGATGGGCATGGTTTTTGGGCTTCGGGGTCCGATACACACACGCCCTCAATGAGGCTGTGTTTACCAGAGGTCTGAGTCCGCGTTAGCCCTCGCCTTCGCGTTTGCGCCCAGCTTTCATCCGACTCTCGCAATACCCAAGTCACATATTTGCTAATTTATTGACGCTTCTTAACCGATCCGGTTGCCGTATATTTCAAGCAGCCCATTTATGAACGCGAAAATGTGTTTTTTTCTTTCTCCAGCATAAATGGGTCATTTTTATTTGCTGTGGTTTTTGCTGTTACTGTTAGGATATGGTGAAATAGTGTTTAGCACCTTCGATGATTGAACTGGACTGTGTGGGGCATGTGTCTATGTGGTAATAATTGAAAGTTAAGTGGGTAAAGTAGGTGGAGGTGAATGAGATGTTTTTGCCGGCATTTATATAACAAGTTTAAAGGAATGAGAGGAGAGCAGTTTGAGGGACTGACAAAAACATGGCAAATATTTTGTAATGCCTTGAGCAAAGTATGTAGAACAATACAGCGTTGCCGCTAACCTCTTAATGCACTCGATTTGTACTGAAACAGCTTTCTTTAAAAGCCAACTATGTTAGGAATTTAACGCAAAAAAATGTATTAATTTGGTATGTATCTAAATAATTATATGTATTTGCAAAATTATATAGTATTTGCTTATATATAAATAAATTATGTTTCGTCCAAAGATTACATTTTGTTTTTCTCCTTATTGATAGTTATTAATAAAAGCATATAAATAGGAAATTACAAATGCATGGTCGTATTGCAGATTATTATACCCGTTACTCGTAGAGTAAAAGGGTATATTGTATTCGTGCAAAAGTATGTAACAGTTAGAAGGAAGCGTTTCCGACCCTATAAAGTATATATATTCTTGATCAGGGTCACTAGCCGAGTCGATATAGCCATGTCCGTCTGTCCGTCTGTCTGTCCGTCTGTCTGTCTGTCTGTCCGTATGAACGCTGAGATCTCGGAAACTATAAAAGCTAGAAGATCGGCATTTTGCATGTAGATTTTAGAAGTTCCTACGCAGCGCAAGTTTGTTTCAAAAAGGTGCCACGCCCCCTTTAACGCCCACAATCGCTTATATACGATTTTAAAAATTTAAATATTTCGGAAAAGTAAAAATGCAGTTTTATTGTGTTTATCAATACCTATCGAAATGTAGAAGAAATTTTTCAAATCGGACCATTCGTTAAAAAGTTATGCGTGATCAAAGTTTCTATCTCCATCTCCCTCGCACTCCCTTTACCGGAGTAACGGGTATCTGATAGTCGGGGCACCCGACTATAGCGTTCTCTCTTGTTTTATGTTAGTTTTTTTAAACTTAATAAAATATTCCTATAGTTTTTGCTAACAATGAGTTAATTATTTTCTGATTGCATAATTTCCATCAACAACTTGTACAGAAAGTAAAAAGTTACTACGCCGCTAGCAACAAAGAAATCGATGTCAGATTTTGGTATCAAAATTCTTGATTGGCGGATTAACATCAGTATTGTGTTAAAGAAACTGTGAGAACTCACAGGCAGAATTTACTCATTTGCCTTCTTTCGAATTCTGCAAGCAACCCACAAATGTTGCCTATCATTTAACTGGATCTGCACTAATTTAGCCAGCGAAATAGTTTCTCTGGCAGCCTGAGACACTTTTACAAGTCTATCAAGCGGTAGTGTGAACTTTATGATTCATCCATTCAGACATCCAGCCACCGAAGATTTTCCCAGTCACGTTCTGTTATCACGGCCTGCATTGTGACAGTTTATGTTGCTATCCGAGTTTCTCTGCTTGGCATTGCATCGTAAAATCTCGCGTTCCTGACAAAAGATCTCTATAAAATCGAAACAGCTTCAATTTTTGGCAGCAACAAAATTTGTATTTTTATTGTCCCGCAGCAGCTTATTAAAGACAGTCATTCAACGGAGGGGAAAAAAAATGCCTCACTCACTTTCATTTATATTACAACGAAATGCGACACTAAATGTTGCCTGCCCTCAATGTTGTTGTTCGTGTTAGGGTTTTTGTTGCTATTGTTGCTTTCTTGTCTTGCTTATTGTTACTGTTATTGCCGGCTGATTGTTGCTGGGCAAACCAGCCGCGGGCGTCGGCTTGTCACACGCTGCGTATGAGTGACGCGCCTTTATTTTCGGTTATTGTTTTAGCTGCGTAAAACGGCCAAAAGGCGGCCCGAAAAAAGAAAGTGTGCTAGGCATGCCTTATTGAGCATATTTCGCCCAGTGATTCACTTGCCACGCCAATTTGCATAGTTCCGCGGAGTCCAGATTGCATTGTATCGTTTCATTCATGATGATGAAGATGATGATATTCGGGGCCGCTGCCGCTGATAAACCGCATGCCATTGGCTTGGCTCATACGCGGTCCAGTTTTTCACCTTCATTCATTCATACGATTCGCGTCATCGTTTTCGTGAGTGAAAGTTATGTAATATTAGCGCGAATTTTGCAATCTGCAGTGCGCACTGCTAAACCGGATGGATCGACATCGATTCGACATCGACGGATAAATGTCTGGGGACCTCCAACGCGCAGCCAATAACGAGTCGGGTTTTATTACCCGCCTAACTGTCAAATCAAACAAAATTTCTAAATGCCAATCAATAAACAATTTCTCTTTTCTTCGTTGCGGTTTTTCGGTTTCTGCCTCCAAGAATTGTCAAAGTTGCAGTGACAAAAAAAAATGGAAAACAAGGCTTTTCAGATCCATTTAAATTATACTTTATAAATAAAAGTTTTTAAAGACTTTGTTATATCTATTATTGAACTAAATAACATTGTAATCCTGAAAGGTAACAAAAAATATTTTTTTAAAAAACACTTTTGCTCCAACGGTGTATGAATTTCGTTGCAATGAAATAGAAAAGGTAAAATATTGAATACAAATTAATAAATTATTACATAAGAACAAAAAAAAAAAAATACTTTTTTATAATTTAAAATATTTTTTTAACGATTTATGAAAGGTTTAATTAATTAGTTATGATATATTTATAAAAAATATATATTTTTACATGTAATATTTAACGAGTTGATTAGTAAGACCAGTAATAAATTAAAGTAATTTTGTATGTTAAAATAAAAAAAAAAAAAAAATTATAATTGTAATTTTTTGTACAGTGTAATTTTATTTTGGGATAACCTTTCCCAAGATTTTTTCCCTGAACCTGCCCTTCATTTAATGCGTTTCTGACAGCAACCTGGTGGGCATTTATTATTTACACAAAGTCAATTAGCTCCGTTTCATTTGTGCGCTTTTCGATTTGCGATTTGTTGCTGGCCGTCGCTCAATTAGCCGGCAACAAGTTGCCATAAATCGATAGCTCACTTTCCTCAAACTCTTGTGATGTGGGTGTGGCAGGTTGGCCGGACGGTTTCATGTGCGTTTGCTTTTCAAATTAGCCTGCTCGATTCGCAGTCGAATTTCTGGGCTCTGCCGGCTCGTTTTTATATTTTTGGGCAGCGTACGTTCTACTGACCCATTTGAGTGTGTTTCCATCGAATTCAGCCATCGGAATGCCATCGGCATTATTGGAATTCCAACACAGTGGGGTAGACATTAATCTACAGAGCAGAGGATTTTCTGAGGGCTTGTGTATGGAAAGAGGTATACATTTATTTCGTTTGAATCAAATACCAAAAGGGAAAATAGTTCAAATTGGCAGCCATAAGGCTATTCAAGCTCTGACCCTCCAACGTGAGCAAAGAACCCAAATTCTTTGGAAATCAGAAACAAAATTCTTTAAATGACTTAAAGGAATCTAACTCAAAAAAGTAAAATGTTAAGTTCAAATAAAAAGTGGTTTTATGGACGATTTTAAAATGAAAATTTGAAAAGGAAAATATTAACCTAAAGCATGTGATATTTATGAAAAATAATCAGACAAAGAAACACAACAATTTTGTTTATGCCGTATTATTATTTATTTGATTCTTGGATTTTTATATTTATTTTATTTGTGAATATGTTGGTAACCTGAAAGGGTTGATTATTTTCTCGTACTCTACATTTAACAATAAAAATTATTTCCGATAGTAAACATTTAATACATTAATAAATTATGAACACATTTGAACATTTCTTTTGCGTATGGATATTTTTAAAGCTATTTTAGTCAACAAATTTACAAAAGAGTAAAATTAGAGATTACTGTTATTTTACTGAAAAATGCGTATATATATTTTTTATAGTAAGAGCTAAAAAAATGGTAAGCTTAAGCCTAAACATTAATCTTCCCCTTTCAAGCAAGAAAAGAATGTGTTTTAATTCCTTTTCACGGCTGCACAAAAATAATTCATCCTCATCTGAAAACTCAAACCACAGCTAAATTATATCTTTTTGAGCTTTTGGGGTTAAACGCAGAAATACCAGCAGGTGAAATTGATTTTCTTTTCAATTGTGCAAATATGAAATGTCAATATTGTGCGTACTCGTTTCTGTCATTGTCGCTCGGCTGAGAAAGTGCAGTGCCAAAGCGAAACGTTTTCCATGCATTGAGCGGATATACATAACGTATTTTTGGCTGAAAAGGTTTTTTTTGGGTCGTAGCTAGTTATGGTATTTGCATTTAAAAAATTCATAGCCATTACCTTGCGGGCACACTGCGGTTCAAAGCCAAAACAAATTCAATTCACTTTGCCACGAGAGCTAGGGCAATTGCCATTTTGGGCTGTGAAGCTTATATATTATTTATACTCTTACAAAGTAAAGTGAATATTGATGCATCAATAATTTGATTATATTTATAGTTAATTAATTTAAGGTTCTTATTTTAGGAACATCTTTTCTGTGTTATTTGGTTTTATTTAAATGGTTTTGCAGTCATACTTAGGATTTTTAAACATTAAACAAACAAACATTCATATAAAATATTTTAAAGGTAAGTAAAATTTTGGTTTGGGAGGAAATATTTAAGATAATACTTAAGTATTTTAACAAATAAATATATAATATAATCTTGAAAGGGTATTTTGATATTTGTTTTCCCAGGTCTGCCTTTATTTCCTGCTTTTGTTCATTTTTGCCAGGTGGAAAACATGATTTAGTGCGCCTGTGGGATCACTTTTTAGCCCGGACTCAGGGCTAAGTATCGTCGCTTTGTTTAACCCCATCCGCTGGGCCCGAAAGAAAGTGAAATTGATGACACAAATGCGCAGACAACAAATACGAAGCGGTGTCTATGCTAAATGGCCTGGTTAAGTAATCTCGTGAGAGCCGCAAACATTGCGCAGTCAGCGGAGCTGAGAATGTTGTTAATAGCCAAAGCCAGAGATGCGATGACAAAGGCCGCCCAGTGGGTTTCCCTTCGCCCTCCCTTTCTTCAGTTTAATTGCCCAGCTTGGGTCTCGACTTCACTTTCAACGTCTCACTTAGAAAGAAAGATACGCCCTGTTGTTGATCGATCTGTTAGATACGCGACAGGCATGCGCATACCTGGGTCTTGTACCTCGTATCTCGTGGCTGCAGATGTATCTGTAGCTGCTGCCCCGCCCCTGTCATACTTGCAATTGTGTTTTTGCTTTTGGCGCCCTACAACTTTCACTTGTTGCGCGGAAATGGGGGCTCGATTTGCGTAGACTGCTACCTTAAGTTCAGCCAACCATGGCAAACTTTTTGTAATCCGTGTTCTCTTTTGAGCAAGAAATTAATGCCAAATTAATAATACAAAACATAATTTTGAAAAATTTAATTTTATTTGGTCTATAAAAAATTGTATTAGTTACAAAGTTTAAATTTATAATCTTAAAGGTTCTTAAAAAATTAAACATTTTGCAATAAAATAAATTGTTTGAAAGTTGCTTAGCTCTATGAAAACGAATTATAAAAACGAACAGTATAAATTTCGGGAAATGGTAGTGATTTAAAACAAGTTTCTTTATTTTTAAATTATAAATATTTCTGGAAGCTAAAAAAGTATAAATATCAATATTTTGAAAAATATATTTGTGTGTTGACAAAGAAAAAATTATTTATCTACAGAATATTTTACAATATAGAAAATTAAGAATGTTTCCAAAAATGCTTACATAAATTGAAAAAAAATTTTAGTTTAAGAGATAAGTATCAAAAAATAATTTGTTTAATTATTATTTTAAAAATATTATAAGGATTCTAATTCTATATTAAACAGCAAAAATTAAGTCAAAATTATTTTAACTAACTTGAAAGTCCTTCTAATTTTGTTATTTCTTGTATGTTAAAAAATATGTTCTAACTCCTGTGCAGATAAACTCAACATGTCTTAACCTTATAAATATATTGGATAAAATATTTATTTTACTCTTACGAAAAGAAAGTTTTTAATGTCGACTAATGTTCTATTGCTGTCGAGTTTTATTTTCGATTTGCCGCTCCCACAATCAAAGAGTTCGAACCACCCAAGGCGTTGATCGTGGGTCTTCATTGCATCGGCTGCAGCATGCTGATTGATTTGTGACAACCTGTTTGTTGACTTTGGCTTTCGGTCGTGCTCTTTACATAAGCCGGACTGTCGTTTGTCGGCGCTTATTGCAACAGGCACTTGCGGAAGTGCCGCTTCCAATTCGACAACGTCGATGGCTTGGCTTGGCTCTGCCCACTGGTCGATTGCCCGGGATTTTTGATGGGGATTTGAGGGCTGGCCGACGGTGCGCATGCGCAATAAACCGTTTTATGCATAACGGAACCGCAGTGCTGTTAATTTTTGCCTTGCGTACACACGTAACGTCGTCAAAGTCGAGCGAGTCATGTGCTAATTAGTCGTTGATGAAGCTGGGAGTTACGTGGCCTTATTTGCCTATTGGCCAACACTTTACCGGAAAAGTGATATTTGTAATGATGGTCAATCTGATATGATTGCATATTAACACTAGATTGATATTTACATTTATTCTCTACAATTTGTTAGCTTTCATACTTTCAGAGCAACTAAAATTTTTTTTTTTGTAACAGGACTTTTGCTTTTTCTTCCTTTTAAACCATTTTACTTTCGTTCCGGCTGAGTCTATAAAAATGGTTTATACAGGTTCTCAAAGTTATGATCTTTTGATAGTCCCAAGGGTATAAAGGGCTGTCGAATGGGCATCCAACTGCTGGCACTGCCGGAGAGGTCCGTGCTATGCAACCCCTTCACGACTGGCGCATGAGAATGAACGATTTCCAGGCGATCGTGTCCATGTCCTCCGGACAATATCCATTTAAGGGCCAACAGTCCAGAGGTGGCCAACGCGATTTTACCCATGACAAACGATGAGGCCGAAAGTGCAGTAAGCCATTTTAGAACCAAAGGCAGCAATACTATTTTTGCAACAGCTGCCGCAGCCAGTAGGGGATAAACCATTTTCATTAGCTTTTTTTGCTTCTTGTGCTTGCCGCGACCTGTAAAACCAGAGACAGTTATTAAATAAGTAAGTTTATGGTTATTAGAACAACGAAGAAAAAATAGAGATCACACTAACCAAGTAGCCCCGCATTTCCAGATTACTTTACATTAAATTATAGCTATTCTTGAAAAAAATGTTACCCAAATTAATAAAATATATTTAATTTAAATAAAAAGTGTTAAGTAACATGTAAAGTAATTCCTGAATACAAAAAAAAACTTGAATTTTCTTTTATTAAATAAAAAAACAAGAGGACCGAAATAAATTATAATAAGCCAAAATTAGGAATAATATATGCCTAATATTTGAGATAAAATACCTCGAATATAGGGGCAAGCCTCAAACTTTCGATAATTACATTAAAAATTTTTGTAATTTTTTAAATTTTTCTGTAATATGTTTTAAATTATATTTTCCTATACTTATACAGTAAAATATTTTGTTTGGCGTCTGGGGTCCTGAACCTCTCCTAACAGTTATCCTTCAAGAAATTCGAGTTACACCCACCTTCTGTTGACCAGCTGTCCAGCATGTTGTTTACCTCCTCTGGACTCAGATCGTCGTTGATCAGGCTGAGAAATTGGGTTTCGGCCATCGCCAGCCACTCCCGCTCCACTCGCTGCCGCTCCTCCAAGGCAGCTTCCTGCTCGGCGTCCTGCTCCACGGCAGCCACAATTGCACCGCCCATCTGCACCATCGGCGGAAGGCTGTAGGCTCCAACGAAGGACACCAGCCAGAGCAGTTGGAAAATTGTTATTGAGATCGAAATCTTCAACATGTTTACACCGTTGCACCGTTCTCAGACGACTGAGCAAAAGTGGGCACCCACCGCAGATTGCTAGTAATGGGGCACTCTCTTCGTTGCACTTCGCTGCATATCAATTTAATTTGGTATCTGTATATTCTTGGCCAAATGGTGGCCACTCTGTACCGCTACCGCTTCTTTTTTACACAAAAAGAAAGTTCTAAGTCAGAACTTGAACTTAAATCGCCAATTTAATGAAACTCAAAAGAAATATGTGGTCGATAGAGCGTATATAGTAAAAGTTTTAATTTGCTACGAACGTCTTTGCGTAGTGACATAAATACAGCACATGTCTTATTCATTTAAAAACTTTGCAATGAACTTATAAAAATGTTATCCCCAAATAATTAAAACAACAATGGCAACATTTTCTGAAATAATGTAAATGTACTTATTTAAAGAATGTTTCCGGACGTAAATAAATTTCAAATTCTTGCTCATACGTTTGAGGAAGGAAACATTCTGAGCTAAATAATTCACTGGTGATTTATGATTCTGCTTTTCCCGGAGTGTTCTACCTTGTTTTCGCTGATTTTGTTTTGCTCCGCCGATTCAGTTTTACTTGAGCGTGAACGGACACATTAAATTTTCCCTGCTTTAATGAGCGGCTTTCCGCAGACGTTTCACTGTAACTGTGGCTCTTGTTGTGGCTGTTACTGGGTTGTGTCTGTGTGCACCACACTTGTCGGGGGTCAATTGCTCCGACCATCAACAAGTAAAAACTCTTCATTATCGTTGGAAAGCATTTTACTCGGTCCGTTTCGGTTCACTTGCCCTTTTTGTTTGGCTGCCACGTTTTCCCATTTCTGAGACGTATTTGCAAGGAAAAGCTTTTCGGGGAAATGCTCCACGTCACTCACAAAGGGATTTACCCCCTGGCAATTTGTTATCCCTTTAGAAAAAATCGCAAACCCATTCATTGATGTATGCATTTATTTATTTTAAAATTAGGTTAAGTAAAAATTAAAATATAGTATAAGCTAAAGCCTAAGCAACACTATTGCCTTTAAAGAATACGAATAAACTAATAAATTGTCCATAAGCAAATATAATTAAATACATAAACCAGTATATTTATTTTTGAAAAGTTCGAATATTTGCCAACTAATACATTAAATTAATTTTATATAATAGCCCGAAGATAATTTTGTATTATCTTGGCATATCTTTTCTAAAAAGCCTTTAGTTTAGGCTTCTACGTTTGCTTTATTAATTGGTCATCAATTTTCAATTTAAAACTGCTTCCCTGAAATTCAATCAAATCTGTGGCCGTAGCAGACCCAATAAAAATGTTATTAAAAATTCATTAATAACATTGCCATCAACAGGAATGGCCATGAAAATAATTTGAATTTGCTTTGAAGGCTTTTATTGAACTCGTGTTTATGTAAATTTTTGGTAATCTCCCGTGGCTGAGGGCCAGAAATAGGATTAATTAAATTTCCCCAATATTAAGGGAGCAAACGAGCAGAGCTTTTACAATTACACAAGTTGGCTTGATGGGAGTATATTCGCAGGGAAATCAAATAACTTCCAAACTGAATTAGGTGTGGCCCAGACGAGACAAATGGACTTATCTTGTTGACCCGCACATATGTAACTCTGGCCTATGTGCATGCTATGTATTCACAGGCCGTCTAAGTCCAAACACATTTAAATGCACACGCGTGCCTCGGAACTAATCGCAGTCAGCAGTCAACATTCGTTAACGCTTTTGCTGTCGTCACTTTTCATGCCCAAAACCCCGACTTTACCGACTGCAAAGTGTCTGCGGAATTTATCGTTGTTTGGGTGTCAGCGGTATTTTTATTTGGCATCCGGTTGCTGCTGAAACTATATACTGCCCATCGAAGGAATTTTCGGGGATTGTGTGTTTGTAGTAATTGGAAAATGCCTCTTCACTTACATATTTTTGTACTAAATATACATTTTCATTTTAAATAAGAGAAGTCGCGTACGCAAGCTTAGGAAAGAACATTTAAAGTAGTCTATCATTGATGCTGATTCTATAAATACAATGATGCTTAAATGTGTAAAATAAATTAGTATAAATATTTTAAAAGCATACTGAGCATTACCTTGATAATTACTTAATAGAACATTGTTATTTTAAATTCATAAGAATTAGAGTTTTATCCGCAATAGTAATAATATTGAAAATGTATATAAAGAAGATTGCATTTTTTTGTTGCTTAAATAGAACAAACGTGTACACATAGTCTAGAATTTTCTTTGATTTAACTCAGAAATAAATAAATAAATAATTAAAATCTAAACCTAAACCCTAATAAAATTCCATACCACATTTCTCCTGCAAAGCTTTTATATTCGTCTAGGCAAAAGCAATCTTTTCAATTCGTTTATCGTTTTTTGGGACTCTTGCTGTTATGTACATACTTGGTTTTACTTGAGGGCGCGTCGTTGCTATCTCAGAAAATCGGCGTCGCTTGTTTTATGGCCACCGACCAGACAAATCAATGCCGACTGGCTGGCTGCACAGCTGGATAAGCCAAGGCGAACAGCCAAATCCGAGTGTGTTTAAAGTCCGCACTCCTCAGAGTTTCTTCAAGACGAGCGACTTGCTGGCATGGCCGCCACCGCCGGAGGTCTTCAGGCTCATTACGGCCGTAAAGAGAGCGAAAAAGAAGCCGGCCAGACCCGTGGTGCCCACGAGCAGCGTGAGTCCGCCGATGAGGACCGGGATGAGGGTGAGGAACTTCAGCTTGTAGGCAATCAGCAGGGGGAACAGCAGCTTCTGGATCTTCTTCTTCAGCTTCTTGAGCTTGCGGCCCTCCGATTCCGGGCCCAGACGTTGGGCGCGACCTTGAACCAGGAGTTCCTTTGATGTTGCCGGTGCACCTGATGGTGCTGTGGCTGCTTCGCTTGTGGTGGCATCCAATTTACTTGAACCGGCCTCATCTGTGAGTGGATAAGTGGAGTCATAAGTTAGCTAGGTAATTAAGTGGTCAGTAGCAGGCGCCCTGAGGTCATGGTCACACGTCCCTTGCGTTATCGCAAGCGATTGGAAAGCAATTAATTCAGAATAAATTGGATTTCGAAATAGAGAAGAAAACGTTCAAGGAGTTAGCCAAGCTTTTTTAATAACTATTTCCTCCTGAAGCCTTAACATCTTGACAGTTTAGATTTTAAATATATGTAACATATTAGATTAATTCGTTTTTTTAAGTCAGAGTTCTATTATTGCAAATACTTTATTTAATTAAAATTATTTTAAAATTGTCTCATTGATATGTTTAAGAATTCATAATCATTATTGTCATTATTAATAATGATTGTAACTGCTTCTGGGAATTAATTTTCAGATAACTATGCCAATAATACCGTAATAGAGGTAATTATAATATAAGATAATGGTAATGTTTTAACTTCAATTTCAATTTTTTATCAAAAACATTTCTTAGTTAAACTGAAACTACGACGATATTGTGGTGTGGAAATTTCTTATTGAACTCATAATCTTATTTAACTTTTGTGTTACGGGGTTATTAACTACTTTCCACTACGAGAATTGCCAATATTACAGTAATAAGAAAATGGTAAATTCTAATACTTTAGATTTAATTAAAATTTATTTTTGTAAGGCTTGAGACCTGTTTTATGTTAATAGCAAAGATTAAATAGCCAAGACTAGTTTTATGTGGCAAGTTCTTGGTTTTTAATAGCACGAGGGGAATTCCCAGAGCAAATACGCACCTGACTCGTCGCTAATCACACTCCTCAAGGTGTCGCAGAAGTTGCGCACTTTTATTAAAGCGCGTTCAAAGGGCGCCAAGAAGGATTCGATTCCCCGGAGCGACGCCTGTTCTCTCGCTCCGACTTCCATGGGAAGGATTTCGCTTTCATCGTCATCATCATCATCACCATTAGCCGGGTGAGTTGAAGTCGCAGCCACCTTACGAACTTCCGGCTCGACTTCCTCCGCATTCGGCAGCTGGCGTAGGAGTTGGCCCCGTCGCATCTGCTGGCTGATGGCCAAAACGTAGCTGGCTGGATCGCTGGGAGGAACCTGTTTGTAATTTCCGCCCGTCGATGGGGAGCTCTCGTTATAGCGATGGTTGTAGGCGTAGAAATTGACAGGAAGCCGTCGTTCCGGCTCCTTTCTCCTTTCCCGGATCTCCTGCCGCTCCGGCGGCATTGAACTGGGCGCAGTTGCCTGGAGGATGAGCCAATTGTTGTGCTGCGTGAAAGGCTGCCATGCATTCATCTCCAGCTTCAGTGGCGGGTTTTGGCTGCCGGCGGAAGTGGCGCCATTAAAGCGGCTGGCGGTGCTCCTTGCCACCTTCATTGTTATGAGCCCGCAAATGCCGAGGAGCAACACCTGTCGCTGCCACATCTTGGATTGGACTTTTGTTGCGGATCCTTCGGACGGGCTTCCCACTTCACACACGCACTCCGCACAACGTCAAGAATCAAACTGTGAGGAGGTGAGTGTTTCGAGATCTCTGTAGACCAAATTCTACGGGCCATTCGACAATTTATGGCGCTGCTGGTTGAGTGATTTTGCGGCCTTTCGCCGAAAAGTGCTGCGGCTTTTTGCTTGCGGTCAAGCCCCCAGTTGATCCCCCTGATAGCTTTTCACGTCCAAGACTTTTACCTAGCACACACGTAGAGAAATAGTCTAATAAAGGTTTAAACGGAATTTAAGTGTTTTTTCCAAACTAATGTAGTATAAAGGGAGTGTTTAAAATACGAGGTATCCAAATCTCGAATCGAAAGGCTAGCACTCAATAGTCAACTATTTTGGGCTTTAGTTAAACAAATAAGTATTAAGTATACGAAAAGCAATTATAAAGAAACCTTGATTAAAATAATAACCTATTTACAAAAACTATTTTCAGCGAAAAAGTGTTTTATAGATACGATGTAAGTAATTAAAATATGTTTTAATCATATTAAAAAATATGTAATTCAAACATCAATTTATTATTGTTAATTTATTTAAACTATGTTTTTTTGTTGTCTTTAATTTTCTTTATTTTTCAAAATTGGAAGCCATTTGTTAAAGTATGTTTGTTAAAAGTGCAAGCGTTTCTTAATTTACACAAACACTTTTTTTTTAAGTAATCATAATTTTTTGTAAGATTGAGTTTTTTAATTTTAGGCACCGTTTATTTTACCGTGTATGCATCCAAAAGGGTAATCCGTCAGGCGAAACCGGATTGGGTGGAGAGAACCGACCACTTCCCAGTTCCCACTTATGTAAATTTTCACAGATGAAGAGTGGGGGTCTCGTTGGCAGATCGAAGATTGACGCTCCAGGGAGCACAACACGTGCTGCTAAGCCCATTGAGGCATGTCCATTTTAATTAGAAAAAAATGCTTTAAAGCCTCGACTCGGGAGTTTTCACTTTTCACCACCTTACTACCTTACTACCTTATTGCCCTGTTGCACGTTCAAAACCACAAGTCCAACTGGTGGCCTTGCACTCGTTGCCACTATTCTATATAGGTTTTGGGCCCTGAGAAAGTGTGCCCAATGGGTGAATTCGCGTAATTGTAGATCCGTGCGTGCTAATTGGCTCTCTGAACTTGCCACTTGTTGCCTTTGGCGGATGAAGTTGTTTCTGCCTCTATTTAAATGCAACATCTCAGGTGCTCACAGTGCGGTTAATCTTCCCAAATGGACGCTGGGCCACAAGAGGTGAATCTGTGGGCGGAGGAGGTGCCCCGTCAGTCGGTTTCTGCAGCAGATTCTGTTTCGTAGTCACATACTTTTGGGCACCATGTGTTCATCCCTCCACAACCGGGTAAAATACCTAGCCAGCTTTTAAGCACTTTCCTCTGGTTCCACTTTTCAGTGAAGCTTGCTTTCAGGCTTGCGCTTTACAGAAACAGAAAGCCACCAGCAAATGGCTAGCATGGATAGAGCAGAGTACGAAATGCTGTATAAATTTGATTCTAATTTAATTGAACTTGGTTATGACTCTTACCAATTAAGATTTAAAGTGTCTTAGAGAAATTAAGTAAATTCGGTATTTATTGGCAAAAGAAATTAACCAAACTATATCCATTCAAACCATTCAATCAACTTAACGTTCAAAGGACTTAATTTTTCTTTACAATGTATTTTACCATAATACATTGAATAATTCTCCTCTGCATAAATATGTGGGAAATATTTAAATATATTTTTGTTTGATTAATAAAAATCAATTTGGTCATAATATAATTAGCTTAGCTTTCTAAAATTTAATACATTAAAATCAGTTTCATGTCAGTGTTCATCTAACCATTCAGATGTAATTTTTGGAACTCATGTGAAACTTTAGTGCAATCCTGACCAGAATGCAGTGCCTAGCTTGATTCATTCTCCTTCCTGTCTTTGTTTCTCCATTATCGCCATTCAGAGTGATGTATGAGAAAGGCTTATGGCACTGAATAAGTGAAATAGCCTGGGCGATAATGGAGGCTTGTGGGCCAGTGTGATGGTTGTAGGCTCAAATTGTGGCTTAGGCTGAATGGCAATTGAAATGGCTTTCAGAGCATGGCCATTAACAGCTAGCTATGATTGATAGTGGCCAAAGGAACTCATTCGGGGCGCTTAAGACCATAATGGAGAGTGACTGTGGCTTATTTCTCTTGATGTCTGCTCTAGTCCAAAACTCGTATTTTATCTGCCATTGTTTTGCTGTCTCGTGTGTGAGTATGCTGGCAACAGATGATCAAACATGATTCAAGCTAGCTTAAGACATTTATAGCATTTAATTTTTATCACCGCAAATTTGCATGTTTTTGGTTTTTTCGGCTGACTATTATGATGAGCTAACAACTGGGACAAGCAGTCTTGCATTTCTGTTCGCAATCCTCATGGTACGACCAAGAGAATAGTACACTAAGAAAATATTTGCTGAATTTAAGACTAATAATTTGTTTGATTTTACTATAACTAAATAAGTATTGGCTTCTGGTTACCAATTTACCCTAAGGGTTTCATAGTTTCGAATTCAAATGTGATCATTATTTGACGAACGTACAAAAATTTTAAAACTTGTAAGTGCATTAATATTTTTTTGTTAGTTTGTTAATTAGTTTTTATATTGTGTACTTCTTGGTCAAGTAACCAAAAACATATTTATGCTTTAAAAACCGTGAGGTATTTAAATCTCTTTTTAATTATTGTGGAATATGGTTTAAAAAATATTTGTCTTAAATTATCACGAATCAGTTCTGGCTGTGATTTGCACTTCCCGTTTTTATTTATTTTTATTTTCCCACTTTTTTTAGCATAAGATTAAAAATTAAATTGATTTTGTTATTTCGACAGTTCTATTCTGTATCACAGCTTGCATTCTTTTGGGTTCTTTTGTGTCCAACCCGGTTAATTTAGCAGTAAAACTAGTTCAGTTTAGAACTCTTCCTACGCCCTGCTTTAATGGAAATCATAAATTTATTTTCGGGAACCGTGCAGGCCACACCGACTTTTATCAGAGAGCTGCACAAGATTTGGCTTAATGGCAAAGTCACTGTGATGAGTCAAAAGACCTTGTTTTTAGAGAGGAGCAAAGCGTGTGCGACATAAAGCCGCTCACTAAGCCACCTTTACTGGGGTTTGGTCAGGCAGCTATTAAACCGAAAGCGATTTCGGGCTTGGCATTAGTTCTACTTGTGCTTCTCGAGCGTTGGCAATCCGCAATGAAAGTGAGTGTAAAGGATTCTGGACAGGATTGAATTCGAAGTGATATCCTTATTCCTTGCCTAGGTGTTTGTATGTCTTCTGGCGCTGGCCGCCACTCTGGCAACCGCCAATGCAGGACTCCTGGGTCTACTGAAGGGAGGAGGCGGTGGTGGCGGTGGCTATGGCGGCGGATACGGTGGTGGCTACGGAGGTGGTGGCGGCGGTGGAGTCCAGGTCGTCAAAGTGATCAACACCTATGAGGGAGGACACGGAGGTGGCTACGGAGGAGGCTACGGAGGTGGATACGGTGGTGGCTACGGAGGCGGCAGCCACGGAGGTGGCTGGAACTCTGGCAGCTACGGAGGTGGATATGGAGGTGGCTACGGAGGTGGCTACGGAGGTGGTTACGGAGGTGGCCATGGAGGCGGCAGCCGCGTGGATGTCTACAAAGTGATCACGACCACTCATGGAGGAGGCAGCTACGGTGGTGGCTACGGAGGTGGTTACGGAGGTGGCTACGGAGGTAGTTACGGAGGTGGTTACGGTGGTCAATCCGGCTGGTGGAAAAAGAAGTAAGCTGGAGACGCCGGCTCACCAAGCACCATATATGCCCCATTCCCCAGAACTCGCCTCCATTTATCTGCAATCCGGATACAAACTCGTTTATGTACCTGAAAAATCTTCCATAGCCTAGCAGTCTGAATCTCTTTAATGTCATTTATTCCCAAATTAGCGAAACTAGTTTGAGATAATCGGCAGACTGCTTGGCGAACACATTAATAAAAGAAAAAGTGAATCTTATTTAAATTAAATACAGAGCGTTTTTTTGCCTTGTAACTTTATCAATGCCTATTTGCATTTGTAAGTGAGCCTTCCCTTTTTTAGCATAATTTGTTTAAGCGTTTAGATTAAATAAATTGCTACTATGGAACTGAAGCCGGACTATAAATTAAAATCTTTTTCTGCCTTTCTCGTACAAATAACACTCTGTATAATTTAAAGGTGAACAATACTTTTAGCTTGAATAAAAGCCATTATACTGCACACGCCGAGATTTAATCGGTTTTTATATTATATAACTTGGCTTTTTAAGGCCATAAATTAATTGCAAATTTCCGGATTTAATAATATCTAATATTTTTGTGTTAACTTTTTTTGACTTACCATTAATAATCTAAAAATATTATGTGACAGTTTTTAGGAAGTAATCGGTAATTGCAAAGACCTAATGTGTAACTATTTCTTAATTATTATTTAAATTAAATGTAAGCAAGGGTAGCAAAAAAATCAAGAAAGGCTTCTCCCTTGTGAAATTTAAAATTATTGTTCTTGTAATATCGGGAATATTCATCTGAATCAAAAAAGATTATTTGTATAGGATTAGTCTTGATAAGTTTACATTTCCATAATTAATAGCATCTACCATTCTTATTTAGGTTTGTTTGTAATAGGTTTTGATTGTTATAATTATTTAAATTTATTGCATTGACGGCACTTAATCTAATAAAATTCCGGTTTTGCCTTTCTAGTTTTATTGACAGATGAACTGTTAATGCATATTTATACCGCAGAGGCAATTTCACTGCACGCTCCTTGTGGGTGATTTAATAATCATTATATAATTTAAATTTACCATATTAAAATTTACGAAATCTTTGGGTCACTTAATTGAAGCACATTTTAATAAGCTTGCGGCTTATGGTCTATAAATGCAGAAACACAATGGCAAGCAGAATACTCAATTAAAGTGGATTTGGCCAGCAGCTTTAACTTACTTAACTCACACCCACAGTTTTTCATTTGCCTGAGGAACATATTACTCGACTCGAACACTACTAATTGGATGATGATTCGTTTTGCGTAATTCATTACAGTTCCACCCTGGAATCTCGGGTGTATTCTCTTATGATTAAAGTCAAGGGGGAAGTACTAGCACATCTAACTAACTTTTCTCCTTGTGATCATGGCCAGGAAAATGTTTACACAGCCCAACTGTATACCAACTTGCTTCTTGGCTTAAATCTACTGTGTGCTTGTCTGTTTGAGCCAAAGCAGTAAACATGTTCCATAAGGTTGCCGAATATGGGACGCACACCCTGGGACACTACAAGTGGAATTTATGGGAGCCGGAGATGGGTCCAGGTTTTATTGGGACTTGGCCAAGGGCAGCGGAAGTAGTTGCCGGCAAATGGTTACAGGAAGCGTATGTATTTGGCCAAGTATCTTTAACTTGACCTTCCCATGCTTGAGCGAAGAAACCTGTAATTCGATTGGTATCAGTGATTTTATTGTATACATTTTTTTTGCTTTTCTGTTTTTTGAAAACTTTGCTGCTTACATGCGATTTACACTTACGGCTAGTAAATAAATAAATAAGTTAAATAAATTATTACACTTAGTGGCTACGTACAGTTAGAAGAGCTAGAGTTAATGTGAGTGCGCTAGTGGAGTGAGATGGAAACGGAGCTGCAGAAGCGGAAGTACGATAGGTAATTGAAAATAGCCAGTGCAGTTAGCAGTTAAGAAGTAAAGCACAGCGAGATGCAGATACAAAGATTCAAAGATTCAAAGATGCAGAGGCCGAGTTCAGCAACTGTAAACTCGTGTGGAAGAACAGAGCAGGGCAGAGCGTTACATAGAAGAAAGCATAATCGATTAAAGCAAATACTAATCATTATAAAAAATCAAATGCAATGCCCAGTGGGAACGCACGTTCTAGATACATTTCAGCCCATGTATCCATAGGTGCCACTGTGCGTCGAGTGAACCGTTGGAAGTGCATCAAGTCCTCTTGTCTGCCCCGCAGTGCAAGTGCAAAAAGAGAGTTTATGTATATCTAATTACAATCCGTCCGCCGTCCGTGATTTATCCACAAGATAAATGCAGCTATCTAACACTTGGTGTCACTCCTCCGTCCCCTCCCTCTCCTCCGCCCTACGACTTGGTCACCTGCGGCGCCGCGGCCTTCGGATGCAGATGCTGCAACTGCTGCAGCTGCGGATGGCTCTGCGCATGTGCCGCCTGCTCCTGCTTGTGGTTGTGGGCCCGATATGCCAGCTCCTGGGCCTCGGTCAGGGATCGCCGGTCCCATCCGCCGCCGCCTCCTCCTCCTCCGCCGCCGCCCGAGGACCAGCCACCGCCTCCTCCGCCGCCGCCGCCGGATGACCAGCCGGAACTGCCGCCCGACGACTTGCCCGACATCAGCTTCTTCAGTCCGATTATGCCCGCCAGGAGCAGGGCTATCTTCGAGATGATCAGTGCCTTGCCCGCCAGTATGTAGAGCGCTCCCATGGCAATCGGAATCATGCCCATCATCTTCATGGCCATGCCCATCATCATCATGCCCATCATCTTCTTCATTTTGCCACGGCCTGGAATAGAAAAATTGGGTTAATTTGGGCTATTATCAAAACAATTACAGGCTATTCTAACTAGACGTTAATCATAATTTATTAAGATACTTTTATGTTAACCACAGAACTTCAGTAAGGTAGGGAAAAAGTATCTTTTAATTAACTTAAAAAGTCACATAAAATTTAGCACTTTGGGCCTGCTAGAAACCACAAAACAAATTCATTTAGGACAGAAACAAAGATAAATAAGTAGTGAATCCTTTTTGTCGTTTTTGATTAAAATAAATTTCTTAATTTATTCCGAGAAATGTGTATATTTGTGTATATTTTTAAGATTAAAATACCAATACAAAAAGTTTTACCAAGAAGCAACTAATTTATTTTTGTGTATATTATTTTGCTAATCAAATGAAAAACAAGAAAGGAAAGCTAACTTCGGGCGGAGCCGAAGTTGATATACCCTTGCAGAATATTCTGTAAATTATATTCTCCAAAATTATTTATATGATGCATTCTTAATACTCATAAAAAATTCCAACTTCCTAACTTTAAAAACACCAAAGTTATGTCATTTCCAATCGTTCAGTTATATTGCAGCTATAGGATATCGTCGGCCGATCCTTATGAAATTTGGCAGGTTGGATTGATTGGCCAAATATAAAACCCATAGATAATCCCAACTTCCTAACTTTACAAACACCAAAGTTATGGCATTTCCGATCAATCAGTTATATGGCAGCTATAGGATATAGTCGTCCGATCCTTATGAAATTTGGTAAGTCAGACTGATTAGCCAAAACTAAAACCCATAGAACTTCCTAACTTGCTAACTTTAAAAACACCAAAGTTATGGCATTTCCGATCGTTCAGTTATATGGCAGCTATATGATATAGTAGCCCGATCCGGCTCGTTCCGACTTATATACTACCTGCAATAGAAAGACAACTTTTGGGAAAGTTTCAAGCAGATAGCTTTAAAACTGAGGGACTAGTTTGCGTAGAAACGGACAGACGGACAGACGGACGGACAGACGGACGGACAGACGGACGGACAGACGGACATGGCTTGATCGACTCTCCTGGTGATGCTGATCAAGAATATATATACTTTATAGGGTCGGAAATGTCTCCTTCACTGCGTTGCAAACTTTTGACTGAAATTATAATACCCTCTGCAAGGGTATAAAAATATTTCAAATCAAATATTTACATTTCATTTTAATGAGAAAAAAAGGTAAAAAAAAAGGTATGCTACATTTTTGTAAGGGCTTTAAAATTGAAAATCATTCCGTCTAAAAAATGTATAAATTAAATTTTCACTTACAAAACAAAGAAAAGAAAACTATGGAAAAATATCCCAAATTAAATAAGTCAGATGTTTTTAATATTCATTAACAAAACTAACAAAAGAAACGTTATTCGTTATAAATTATTCTTCTTTTGCGCTAAATCCTACTAAAAAAATATATAAAAAGCAAAGTTGGCCATATAATACAATTCGGATAAGTAAACTTCATTATTTAGGTTTATGATGTAGAGGATAAGAGCTCAAACAATGCCCTAAGGAAAGTATTGCAATAACAATAGTCAGAATAATTAAATCTCTGAAGATCTTGCAAGATCTCTAGAGCTTTTCAGACCACACCTGAAAATATTCAAAAGACGGTGAAAGTGCCAGCTCAATTGAGCAAAGGCTATACGAGAATGTTTTCCCAGGTGATTGAGGCTCTGGCATTCCGTTTTGGCAGCACCGTGTGTGGCTTTCATTTCGCTGCCTTCATTAGGGACACTGCGGGCGATTTCACCTGCCTGGCTGGGGAAAATTGCATTTCGACTTGGGCACGTCCATGGATATGGACACGGACATGGAAATGGAAATGAAGATAAAAATGGAAATGGAAATGGAAACGGACACTGATGCTGCCCAAAAGACAGATGATCGCACAGTCATAACCAGCTCTAAACAGGCATCTCAATCGATCCCCTCAATCTCTGGCAACGAGTATTAGCCAAAAATGGCTGTGCCATTGGGAAAGTGTTGGACAACTTGTACTCCAGCTACTCGTATCGATTAAAAAATCTTGATCAATGATTTGAAAGTAAAAGAAAAATTTCATGTGGCGTGAAAGTAAGTTCACTTTTCATTGCATTGCATTGCGATCTTGATGTGGAAGTTGCAGTGAGTGCTTGTGTCAAATTTGTAATTGACGACAGCTCGCATTCAAAATGGAAATGCCAATGGCTTAGTCGAGGAGTTGTTTTTCGTGGCCTCGACGGAGAAACGTGGTCGCCACTTTCATTGCATTTGACATGGTCATGACATCTAGACATGACTTAGTTTTTGCTTTTAACTCGTCATACTCTGCCCTTCCAGGGATTAGATACTTGGGCTTAAGGTTGGAAAGATTGAGATCGGAAAGACTAGGTTTGA